GGATCCGATTCATTGCTATGTTTCATCCAATACCAACGAATAGACATGTGTAGGTTCAAGACAAGAAATGCCACCGTCGTTCTAATTACGCAGGCCTAAGAACCTTTCGTGGCCACTCAGCATCGCGCTTGAAACGAAGCGCAGTGGTTTCGCCGTCTTTTGACTGTATGGAAATCTAGACTCACTGCTCTGTTATATCCCTACAGGTCGCTTGTCCTTGAACAAAAGCGGGCTGCATGAGTGATCGACGTCGGATCGACGATTCCCGAAGCCAAGATTAGCCGTCATCACCGACAGCTGACCTCTTATTAACCCCCTTGTTATAGCGCATAAGATGCTCAGATGCTCAGCAATGCCTATCTGTTCAATAGTGAACAGGGTGCTTTGGTTGCCCTCAATCTCAAAACTCCACGTATTTGCATTTTTGCATGTAAGGCTCGATGCCGACGTTATGATCAACGCCAATGTCCAAGCGGCCGGTACATGAGGCTCAGGCAGCACATACCAAGGGTCGTGCACTGTTGATCGATGTCTTGACTCATCACCAACGGATGTTGGTTATCTTTTCGTGTCAGCCGGTCACTAGCACATGGATCTCAGCAATACACGCCTCAGCAAGAAAGCTTCTGACATCTAATAATAGTGCCTAAAATAACCAGTCTAAAGACCTATCAAGTTATACTAAGCTTGCCTAAATCTTTTTGTCGCTTAAGATATAGGTCCTACATAATAAGTTTTCTTGCCTCCCCTAGGCACCATTGAGGCAGACAGGGCAGATTAGAAATTATAGGCCAGAGAGAGATCTCGATGCTTGCCAGCATGACCATTGCCAGCTTTGGTAGTTTATTCTATGTGGTTTCATCTATGCGACTTCACGCACTAGCTTGTAGCCAATGCGGCTTAAGGAGCAGAGTCTGTATGGAAATCTCAGACGCAAGTAAGGGACAGGAACAAAAGAAATGCCGAATGTCGGTGTGCCGACATTGCTCTGACGCCTTGCATAAAGAACACATAGTTGAAAGAGACCTATGAACTTCGCCAACTCCGTCGAATATGTGAGTTCTCATCCTAGTCACAAACTATGAAATTACGATCTGGAACATGCATGAACCTCAAAGTCAAAGCAGTTGGGATGTTTCACACACCAGAGGTCTTGTCAAAACTGAATCGTGTAGCCAAACAGTCGTATGAACCCTGATCCATGATTACTGTTCATACGGTTGAGTCATGGATGTTTGCCAAACGGCTTTGTGTAAATGCTAGAGCTTCTGGCTACCTACTCTGTTACTTGTCTAGTTCCTGACAGTCTACCCTAATTCGCACAGCCTCGAGTATTTCCCAGGCAAGGCGTTGTCACCATATCACTTGATTCTGGTCTCACAAGATTGGATGCTTAACCGCGAAAGACCCGTACAGTATCAATGGCACGGCTATTGGAGTCACAGATCCTCACTAGAACCTGAAGGGTTGACATATAAACATGTTAGCCAATCCTCAACAAAATCAGAGGCTGTTTCCTTGCATATCCCAGATCTATTTTAAGTGGAATCGGGAGCTATGTCCGACTCCAAAAGTTTGGCTGTAAACATTGGGTAGCCATCGAATCAGTACTCGGCTAGGGGATGGAAGAAAACTTAGGACTCCAATCCTGAGTGGTAAAACCACTACAATAAGTTTAGGATAATTTAGGGTGAGTTTCGTACGCTCGCTGGCTAGGTGTTGCCCCCGCCCCCCGGGTTTAAGGTCTTACATATCTTGACACCCTGAGGGTCGGGGAGTTTGGAATCAAAACTCATTCAGCCAGTTCATGTGGCTAGCTGCAAACTTCAAGATTGTTTCCTTACATCACTTCGAAGCGGAGGGATGGATCTATTCATAGCTCGAATGTTACTAGAGTCTGATGGAAGGCTATTATCTTGCCCGCATGACCGGACTACGCTGGATGGCTATTCATTGTAGCCCATAGCTCTCCACAGTGTGTGCCGTTGCTCAGAGGTAGCTGGTCTGTTCAGCAAGACATGTGTCATACTGATGCTGTTTCTGTGTCCTTCTCCGATATTCCATCAAGAAAACAAAAGGCTGCTGTAAGGATGTAGCCATCCACAACTATTGTGATCGTAACTTGGTATAATATGCTGTGAGAACAAAGCTGATACTTGAGAGGTCTTCACGTTTATTTTACATCTTTCGTGATCCTTGGCCATAATCTGATAGGATACTGATATTGTGCTTGAGGTACGCTTCACACCAGACCTGACTCCTAGTCGTCTCTCAGGCACCGAGATATACTGAAAAGATTCTATTCTAACAGATTGAGTAAAGCCTACTAGTGACGCGTATTGCCTGAATTCAAAACCTCCTGCATTATATAATAGCTGGATGAGCAGGATGTATTTAACTTTGATATATGCAAGGCACCTAGTTTCTCCATAAGCTCAAGAATACAGCGTTCAGCACTGCATTCCGCGCTCCTAGAAGTCCAGAATAATTGCATTTGGCATAGTTATTAGTTACGACATCGGGTACAACTCATCAAAGAACGCTTGTTAGACTTGAGTATATTATTTAAAGTAATTTATATGACTTCTATAAACTCTGGAAATATGAAGGAGCCTCTCGTTATCGGCAGGACGAAGCCAAAGTAAGGGAAAAGCAAAGGTTACAGTAATGACAGAGTCAGCTGGCTGTTGATCATAGCTTTGGAGAGCCCTAAACGCCTGTAGAAGAAACTGTATGGATAAAACAGAAAGCAGGCCAGGGGTGTTGAGTAGGTCGTCGATTGCGGTGGCCAAGAGGCAGCAAGATTTAAGTCAGCAGGGGCATCATCTCCAAACTAATGCTCTACTATCATATCCAGCCTGATTTTTGGAACAGAGACTATGCATCGGCGACACTGAGGTTATTTGTGGAATGTGTCACGAATTGCGCCCTACCATGAGATACACAGATGCTGAGAATCAAGGCGTATATCGGGTTGTCGAAACCATAAATCTAGTTAGTCGGCAATCTTGAATTTCGGGACCTACGTCGTATGCGGGTAATTGAAAGCGTAGCGAGAGACTGCTAGGAGAGATTAAAGATGAGTTGTTAAGGTTTCAAGGTCATTGGAGGCACGGAGTTTGGCAACTTGCATAACCTAGGATTTGGTAAAACAGGATATGCTTATTAACATGCTTGTTGATAAGCCTTATTAAATGAGCTTTGAAAATGGAATTGGAATTGCTTTGTCCCCTATTACTCTGTATCGGGACCGTGAGGAGTTCCTTTGTTTAAACTGGTTCACTGCCTCATCGGGCTGCAACAGTGAGGCTATTAATGGAAGTCAGCTCGTGACAAGATTAATCACGAGCATGATCAAAGCATTGCATCTCGAATGATTCAATGGCTTGAAAGCATGAAATATTTGCCCTTGTCTTCGTGTTTTCCCACTTTGTCTTTGAGATTGCCAAATACTAATCTTATCACCCTTGGTTTGTTGACTTCACAATACTCGAACGTTAGGTATTCCACTTGCTCCTCTTATTACCTTCGTCCTCCCCTGCTGGCGTCTCCCCACTTTGAACCCGTCTGTCCACTCGGCCCCATCTTCTCGGATTCTAGACTCCAGACCCTCCTCCGGACTTCCCTTTCCTTAACCCGCGCGTCAACTTGAACCTTAAACAACTCGAGACAATAACATCTTGGATATCCTTCAGGGAAAATATATCATATTACCGTACTATTCACCTCCAACACTAGTATTATACCCTCAATTTCTCGCACCTTGCCCCCTTACGCCCTGTCGCGCATCATACTATGGCAGCGGCTGGCCTGATCGATCCGACGAAGACGGGCAACTATCCCGTCATCCTCGGCGATGCTCTCTTAGGCAAGACATCCAACGAGATCTTTACCGGTATCAAGTGTTAGTTTTTTTTAATCCCCCAGACTCGATATCATGATACTTACATGTTACAAGACAATTATAAGCCGACACTCTCGTCAGACTCAGCCCCAAACTCAGCTCGCATAAAACCCTCTATCCCCGGCAAGACGGCATCCTATGACCTCACATATACCGATAACGATGCAAAGTATGCTTTCACAGGGACAAGGAATAAGGATAGTGGCCAATATGTTCTCTACTTCGACCCCAGCCGCAAGGCCTTTGTCCTCGATCTTGTCGACTCTACTTTCAACATGAACGTCACCCGACTGCCTGGCAACCCCGATCCTGACAGTCTCCGTCGACAATATCCTCACATCGATAGCGCCTCAAACAGTGCATCAAAAACCAATATCAAAACTGAAAAGAGTACCTCCGACAAATCCACTGCCAAAGCACGCGCCAAAGCCACCATACAGAAGAGAGAGGTCAAGCGCAAGCCCGAGAAGAAGCAGGCCCCGAAGCATATCGAGCTCTCACTGCCAGTACCTCAATCTAACGGACAATCAAAACCTGCGGAACCCAAGAAGCGTACGCCAGCCCCTGAAGAAGAGGACGAGGACGAGGATGACGACGATGGTGGTCTTCTTGTCGAGTATCCTGGCGCCGACACCAACACAGCGCATAGGACCGACTTCTCACCTGCTTTCCCGTCTGTCCGCCGCTTTGATGAATTTATGGATCAGCGTGAGTCTGAAGGTGATGATGCTGATGGCGAGGAAGATGATGATCCAGACTTTGAGTTCAAGCTGCCCAGCCCTGTCAACAATCGTGGTCAATATGAGACTGGGCCCGATCCTATGGACGTAGACGGCGAAGAGGAAAGAGAGGAAGAACCAGAAGTCGACCTCGCCAAAGAACTCGAGGATGCGTTCGAAAACATGGAGAACAGCCAACATGAAAGCCCCGATGGTGACGAAAGTGAGATTAGTGAAGAGGACTAGAAAGGGCTTGAGTTTTTGGGCCTTTCGGTCTAGATTTTGTTTATATGCGGCGTTTTTACGGGAACAGTTTATTCTGTCAGAAACAAAGGTTATACTGTTGATTAGGCGTTGGATAAGAGTCATTTTCAAAGGAATACTCAACGATACCACCGCCCGCCACCTCCAGTACGACCCTGGTACTACTTCTAGCTATACTACTCTGAAGCAATCACATGATGAAGAATATAATCATATAGAGGAAGCGTCATGCTTATGGTGCTACTTATGCTATCCTCTCAGCCTCTTCTCCTTGATCATCATACTTCCATTTCTCTCCAGGCAAATGATCCGTGATACCCTCGATCGCATCCTCAGACCAAAGATGAACCTCCGAATAGGATAACTGCCGACCCCAGGTTTTCAGGCCGTCTTTGTCGAACGTTCCGACAGACATACTAATCTTTTCCGACTTCTCATTGCGCCAGAAGAGCCAGCTGCCGCAGTTGGAACAGAAGCCCCGTGCTGCTTCTGGTGAGGCGTGGTATCGCGATAGCGTCGTCTGAGAGGTGAACTCTACGCTGGACGCAGGGACTGAATGAAGCCATGCGATGAGAGAGCCGCCATTTTTACGGCACTGGGAGCATTGACATGTTGAACCCTGTCAAGTGACGGTAAGTACAGTGATACTTGAGAGAAAAGAAGTGAGACGTACGCTTCTCTTCCAGTCGTGACTAGATGGAAATGTCAGCGTGTAGCGAACCGAACCACACAGACATCCGCCAGAGACGCTTGCAGGGTATTCTTCTGAGGCCATTGGGTTGCTTTTGTACGAGTGATAGTGACAACGAGACCGAAGTGTTCAAAAATGAAAGTGGTGAGACGAGGAAGAGATTAGAGTGTGTTATATTGCATAGCTGTGAAGGGCGTGACCCCTCATCGAGGCGCCTTGCCCGCGGCAAGAATGTCAATGGCGCCTTTTGCTTCCCTGTTTACTGAACGTCTATAAATTCAGAACTCCTGGCGTCATTACTCTCCTGGTCCACTAATGCCTGCATATCAGGTTTAGGCATGGGTATAAATGCACGCCTCGCCAACCACATTCCATGATCTCTGAAAGAACAGAATACAAGTACTGGATCAGTACGTCAGCTGATGCTTATATCGTAAACTATTTAGACAGCTTCCCATTTCGCGAGCCACCCAACGCTTTCGCCCGCATTTCGAACTATACAATATCGACCTTCCTTTGCGTTTTCCTTAACATCGTCTAAAACCTTGTCTATCGCGATGGAACCAATGGCCATACCGTGACCCTCACTTAGGCTAAACGATCCGGTGGTGACGAAGCCAATGAGATCTTCGACATTCGGAACAAGGGGATGGCCGTTCATGTCGAATTTGTTAGCCGATGTAAAGGGGTAAGGCGCAGGTTTAGAGACGAGTTCAGCGGCAAGTTGACGCTTCAGAGAATCCAAGTCGCGGGGCGTCGAAGTTTTGGATGCTTTGTTCTTTTTAGACAGAGACAGCCGAGCCTGAGAAAGCCACTGGGACCGGAGATCATATGGAAGAGAGAAGGGTGTAGGTAATGAACCCGGGGGGATAGTGGCCGGGACTTCGGCTTCGGAGGACTGTGGCGCTGTGGTAGGACGAGATGGGAGGCGGTAGATGCGAGCACAGGAGGTGACCACGCCCCTAGAGACAAGAGATATACGGACGCCAAGAAGAGCGTTTCTTGGTATTGGTGAAGGGGTAGACGGAGAATTGAGGGCTTGGTTGAAAACATCTTTCGAGGTTTGGCGCAGCTGGTAAATGGGCGGCTCTTGTTGTTTCGGTGCTTGTGTTGAAGCTGGATCTTCGTACTGGTCCAAGTCCATGGTGTCCTCAGTATTGTTCTCTTCGCTTCCTTGCGAATCCCCTGTATTGAATAATAGCTCAAAATCGTTAGCAAACCCATCTCCGACCTCGCCCTTCCTCCCGCCGCCCAGGTCGAGTGATTCCCAGGCGGTTCTCTTGCTCTTCGGTCGTTTCTCCCAGGCTGCCTTTCTTTTCCGACGCTCCTCAAGCTCCCATGCAGCACCAGCCTTGGTTCCAGGGAAATCCGCGGGAAACCAAGTCTGCCCTCGTTCGAAGACGACCTGGCGGATCTCGTTCAAACCTGCGAATCGTGGATTGCCCCCTGAAGAAAGGGAACAATGCACCAAGCAGTACCAGAGATGCTGTATGCACTTCCATGGGGCAAGCAGAGTCCATGTTCCTTGAGTCTGTGTGCCTGTATCTGTGCGGGAAGCCAGAAGGATGACTGGGATGGGGGGGTCATCTGCTTTAAGTTTCACGGAGGTCCCGGGAGCATTTTTTGCTTTTCGTCTGTCGATTTGTTTCTGTGAAGGGAGGCAGGACGCAGCATGGCGAATGTCGCGGTCGAAAATGGCATATGGTTTCAAATTCTCCTCAGCCGACCACGACGCTATCTTTTCGAGGAGTTGGAGTTGCGAATCGGGGTCTTCAGGGACCTCCAGACGCCTTGGAGGATATTGAAAACGAGGATCTTGCACCGAGAACCCCAATACCGCGCCAGCAGGGAGAGTGGCTGCATTTGTCAATCCAGCCAGCCCTTGAAAGATCTCAGTATGATCCGATTTCGTCTTATCCTTTACGGGATAAGTACGTAATATAGCTAGTAGAGCTTCTGTAGATCCCGGTCCTGTCAAGTCTAAGCTTCCAATCTCAAATCGGAGATCTTCGATGTAAAGACGAGGGTTTTCCTGCTTTATCAAAGATAGTAACTCGTTAAACAGCTCGAGGAAGGCCGATGGGTGGATTCTCAAGAAGACCTGTCTCGACTCTTGTTTAAGCTCCTGGTTGTCTTCTTGTGTCGGTGGTTCGGGGTTCCATAAGATAGTACATGGTCCGATCATCTTTCGGTCGCCATGATTCTGCTGCCCCGTTTGAATTTCTCGACTTAGAACACCAGTCCATGAGCGGGTTCCGATCCTCCACTTCTTTCCCTTGTCGTTCCAACATGAATCTTGAACAACCCCTGCCCGCTTCAGCACACGTTCTATACCAGCGCGTTTGCCGTAAAGCCCAATTGTGCTCATGTAGCTCATCTCCCATACAACTGCGCCTCTGTCGCCCTGTGCTCGATGTGTAGGTCGGTATATCTTTTCGTTTGGTGTCAATGGGATAGCGAACCGCCATAAAGGTTCCAATGGATCAGTCATACGTGCTCTTTTCGCATGCCACGAGTGTGTTGGTAACCATGTTTTGTTCAGTTGGCGCTTGCGGAACTTGGACTTTGGCTTTGGAGGTTCGTTGAGTTCGTTTCGTCGAAGTTTTGGTCTCGGTGCTCTTCCTATTACAGCTAGTGCTTTGTCTTTACTGACATCTGCATCCTGCTTCGCCTTCGCCTTCGCCTTCGCCAGGCTAGCCTTCCGTTTCCTCGCTGCCAATATTCCCAATTTTCGTGCTGTTTCGGATCTTATCTTCGCTCGCGTTGTTCTGGGTTTCCTCCTTCTGGCTTCGACAACCGGAGTATTGTCGTCTTTCATCTCTTTAAGCGCACGCTTTCTCAGCCGACGAGGCACCCGCTTGGGGTTGTGACTTGCCGTGCGGCGGCGTAACCCTCTGGGTACCTTCTGAAAGGCACGACTGCTAGCAACAGCTTTCGATGTGGCCATGCTCTGTTCGAGGGCGCGAATCTCGAACTCGTGGGCGGCCACAAAAGCCTGGAGATCAAGTTCGCCATCTTTGAGTGCAGCTTCGGCGGGTTGTGCAGGGATGCTGCGCGCAGCATAAACCACAGAGCGCTTCTCCCTGCGGCCATTCGATATCGGCGTGTCGGCCTTTCGCTTTCTGCTGTCTAGCCCAAGTTGGGCTCCGGTAGAAGATCCCGGAGCCATGGCGAAAGATTTGTTGTGAAGGTACCAAATTTGTGAGTTCTTCAAGTCACCTTAAATCAATGTAAATCAATGTAAATGTCGAAACGCGACGGAAAGAAAATAAAAGCTTTATCGATAAGCTTTGACGGCCCCTCCGAGTCATTAGGACCGCCATCATGACAAGTAAATGAGCTTGATTTATTAGAACTGAGCTAGTCACTTGATTAATCTCATGAAAATGACAGATCTTTTGGGCATAAAAGACCGCGATTTTGTTTTCCCTGTAAGGTCAGTTCTCCAGAACTGATCACAAAGCTAAGGTATATACGATGAGCATGGCCTAACACGGGGTTTGACACATTTGCGATACATGCAACAACAAGACGGTTAATGAAATTGGTAATTGTTTTTAATGTTCAAGCCTCCAACCTTAACGTTGAAATAAAATACGAACGCCTCTAGTAAAGGTATACGCCATCAAGTTTGCGCCATTCGCCAGATAATCGTGCTGGACGTTGCAATCTGAGAAGATCAGATCTCTGAGTCTACTTGGTTGCCAAGCCGTGACGAGAAAGTGATTTTTGATCAAAACGTAAAGAAGATGCCCCAGAGCTTCCCTGACTCATCTATTCTAGCTCCATCCCGTAACACTGTAGTGTCTCCTCACTGCTTCCGCCAATTGTCCTGGAGGTTGACATTTGGAACACATCTTGTGGCCCCTGGAACTTGATCAGCTTATGGGTATCTCAATGCATCCAACACAGATCAATAGGGAACATACCAAAACTCTGGAGGATCAACAACATTAGGCGTACATGGCCTTTGTGATCTTTCGTATTTTGGGCACCACTTTCGAACGATCCAGGCATGATGTTGGCACCGAAACTCGACCTTGCATTGGTGGTTAGCAAGAGGCTTCATACTGCAAGGAGGGAGTTCATACAAAGAAATAGTCACACATTCTCAACGTGTAGATAATTTTGACAAAGAAAAAGACGAGGACTCAGCGGCGATCGTCCCCCTTTTGCAGGATCACTTCCATATTACATGTCTGACCTCTCATTTTCATTCAATCACATTATTGTAAAATATGCTAAAGGTTCATGGTGAGAGGTGACCGATGGGGAATCTTACCGTAGAATCGGACTCAAAGGTCTCATATTTGTTGTATATTGCTTCTTCTGAGAACGCCATCGTAAGGAAGCGATGCAACCTGCAATGCAGCAGGGAGCCAAAGGACAGATCGGGAAACGGGTGTTTGAGAATGAAGAGAGAAGATTGTGCATAATAGTTCAAGTTTTCTCTTTTGTCATCTCTTCTCCCGTGAGGAGAGAGAACTGTTGGGTCTGTATGGTCACACGAGCCGGGCGGTTAAGGCACATAATATGACCAGGAATGACTTTTATCATGCCGTTGGCCTAGACTTTTGCTTTGAATCGAATACGAAGCTTGAGAATAGTACGTGGTGTTCAGAGATCTGTTCGTAATAGTCTATCGTTGATTCTCGGTCCATATAGAGTACTTTGGGTATTGTCTCTTCTCTCGACAGTACCCCTGTTCCTCTGCCGTTTCAGACTATTTCGCCTCGCCAGGATCGCTGACATTCTCAGCTCAAAATCAAACATGGGTTCTGAGAAACTAAGTCGTATTCAGCAGGTCTTCTAACCTGTTTGTTAGAAGTTTTGAGAAAATGACATGTATTAAATATTAATGGCCATAAATAATATGATGTCGATAAGTCGTCTCTGTAGGATCTCGATACTGTTCGAGCTCCAATGTCTATTACGACATATTGAAGACATCTCCAGTAGATCGATCTCTTTCAACTCTAATTCCCCCTCTCTAGATGAAACATATGAATCGGTGGCGGTCCAGCTGGTCGGGTGCGGCCTTGCAAGAATGACTTGCAGGCGTTTTTTTTTTTTTTTCTTTTCCTTTCCTTTTCTTTTTCTTTTTAGAACAAGGGAGCTGAAGACGAAGTGCAGGACCTCAACAAAGGGAATAATGCAAATTCTAAGAGTAAATAAGAGTATGGAGCCAGAATATACCTGTTTAAAACACCCAGGAATATAATATCTCCTAAAAACGATTGTAAGTATTGTTGAATTGGCATGTCCCCCTTCAAATACATACATAAGGTACCTTGGGTATCAGATGGCTATCAGCCGCCTGTGGCTTTGCTTGGTGTAAGAACCGCATCTCCCGTGGCGTCAAGTCACAGGGGGCATAATGGGATCTGATCCCTGGAAGTGCCCGTGACGATATCCTCATCATCCACGTTAAGATCATCGACTTTCGATATACGAGCTTATCTTATCATCGCTGATTACAGTCAGTTTCAGTTTCACGTTCAAACGACCGCAAACGTTCCACCAGATACAGCGCCATAGGGGACCGCCGTATCGTTAGGCCAGTCGCTGGCAGCGTCCACTAGAGTTGGAATTGTCTGGCAGACCAGAGCCAAAGTCAAAGTCAAAGTCCACGCCAGACAAGCAGAGGTAGATCCAGAGGGGGGATGGCCTCTTTAAGTAAGCCGCATCCCCACCAGGTTCGCATTTCCGGTGCATTACGCGGGCTATTTCTGTATATAGTCTCTGGCATCTAGCTTTGGCGATATTGCAGCCAACACTCATTCACTCACTACAGCCCCATTGCGGAAGTCTGTCGTAAGATTAGATACCGTCATAATTACGCTCAAGCGAGCTCGCTATATACTCACATCGTCGTAACTTAAACATTGCGAATTATTGACAGAGAGATATCCTGACAATCTTTGCTAACATGGGCTTTCTCAAACCTGAAGTTGGCAAGGCTCGGAAGGTAAGGATTTATCTCAATCTTCAACTCGAACTCAGGTTAACTCGCACCTCAGCCAAAATTCGATCTTCATCTCAAGGTACATCCCTCAACTTACATTCAGCCACTCTATGAGAAAGAGAACCTTAACTCATACTTCCTAGATTTACGACCTCAACAATGTGCCGCTCGTTTCTGGTCAAGCCTTTGTCAAATGGCACCTCTCTCACTCAATGACCGCGGAACATCGCGGCCGCACGCAGAAATGCCCAATCGCCAACCACAGAGTTGAATGGGGCTTTGTCACCGCAGTACCATCTATCCGCATATCGATAGACCGCAATAACAACCTTACCGAGTGTCCCATGGAGTTCGAGGTCATTCAAGAATTTGGTTTGACAGAGAAGGTCACCCTTGGCATCGTTCGCCTCAACCTGAGCGAGTACGTGGAAGAGAGCGAGGCCTTCGTCAAGGATGTCGCATCGCCTGGTCGCATGCGTAGCAATAGTATGGGTGTCAGCCCGACGAGGGGTGGGACATCACGGCCGCGGCGTGATTCGGATGTTGTCGAGGATGGTATCGTGAGAAGATACCTCATGCAGGATAGCAAAGTCAACAGTACCCTGAAGATCAGTATCCTCATGATCCAGGTCGACGGCGAACGGAGTTACGTAGCTCCTCCTCTGAAAACGGCTCCTGTGTTTGGCGGTATTGGCGGCATCATGAGCGAGGCCATAGAGGATGACGCTGGGCGTAAGTTAACTTGATTCGTGCCGTACATTCCCTGCGTCTAACAATACATAGCAATAGCTGCCGCCGTCCCCAACTTATCTAAGCCTCGCGATGCCGCTGAGCTCCAAGACCTCTACCGAAGCGTTCTCGCTGCTTCGTGGAGTCGACAACCCAATGAGCACTCTGCAGAAGAAGTCATTGAGGACATTTTCAATGGAGGCAACGGCTGGAAAACTAAACCTCATAATGCTTCGCCTGTCACTGATGGAGAAGACGACGACCATGATATGGGTCCACGTGATACCATCCGAGCCCGCGATACTCGCCGTATAACTCACAACCTGCTTCACCCTCATCACCATCATCACCACCATTCAAGCAGAACTGCCTCGCCTTCGCATAATCACCAAAGTAACGGCCCAACTGGCTCCTCACATCGCCGCACACCAAGTAACTCGAGTGATAAGAGCTTCTCGACAGTTACAGTCACACCGTCGAACCGTCGCAAAGGCGTACGCATCCATGAGCACCACCTCGACCACGCGCGCAGTATGGCGAGCATGACATCTACCATGACACTTGATAGCGATCCAATGCGCGAAGTTAGTTATAAGGGAACTCGCGAGGTTAGAGAGGATGATATGCGAAACGACCTCATTGCTTGGCGGTTACCAGGTGATGGAAACCAGGTGATGTGAAGGGCATAATTTAGAATTCAGGACTGGGTTTATTCACGGCTTCCGAAGGGCGGCTCGAGTACTTAATTGCTTAAAATGTCATCCTCCCAATTGACTTGGACATTATTCTTTAAATGTTGAAAGTCTTTATTCAATTCATCCTTGACAACCCTCTATTGTGTCCTCTAGAATCTACCAATAAACCCGTGCTTTTGCATGCCCATCCCCCTTATATACCCACTCATAAAATCATTGCGGCTTTTCAATCAAAGTTCCTGCTTTTGAGAGTCCAGCATTTCCAGACTTAGATGTTTCCTCGCACACCACCCTTGCCGCCAACTTCTCGGGTTGTGACGGTAACGCCCAGATCGGCTAGAACGTTAATCGTAACCTCAACCTTACCACCAGCCTTGACGCCCTTGATGGCGGCCTCGGCGAGAGGGTTACCGATCTTCCAGATCTTCTCCCGAGTCTCCTCCTCCTCTTCATCAGAATCATCAAAGTCGGAGTCGTCCTCATCCTTATCTCCATTCTCCTCCTTGGCCTTAGGCTCAGGCTTGGTGACCTTGATGTGGGTGTTACCCTCAACAATCTTAATAAGAACATCGCCACCCTCCTTGGGAGCAGGGATGTGGACGGTGCGTCGGGCAGGGGCGGCGGTCTCAGGGGCGATGATGGGAGTAAAGACATCCTCGCCGTCAGCGCCCACGGTGATCACACCAATAGCGTTGGAGATGTGCTTGACAGTGGTGACAGCAGGGTGAGTGGACTGCTCGATATCGGCGGCCTCGTACTCCTGGATCAGAGAGGCCTGGAGGGCAGCGCCACGAGCAAGGAGCTCAGAAGGGTTGATGGCGGACACGCTCGTGGCGGGAGCCTGAATCTCAGTGGTCTCAGGGAAGATACCACGGAGGTTATTAGCGATACGAGGAGTGTGGGCAGTACCTCCAGACAGGATAACCTCGTCAATGTCAAGAATATCGAGGCCGGCCTTCTTGACAACACCCTCGATAAGTCGGTTGAAGCCCTCAAAAACCTTGCGGGCAACCATCTCGTATCGTATTCTGTTGATAGTAACAGAGAAGTCGAAACCATCCGCCAAGCTCTCGACACTGAACTGAGCGTTGCTGCCCAGGCTCAGAGCTCGCTTGGTAGCCTCAGACTCAAGTCGGAGCTTAGCAAGACTGCGAGCGTTGTTTCGGGGGTCGATGTTGTGCTTCTTTTGGAACTCCTTAGCGAAGTGGTCCATAAGAGCATTGTCCAAATGGACACCAGCAAACTCGTAATCGTGAGCAGTGGCGAGGATGGTGTAGAGACCGCCTCGGGAAGCGATAACAGCAACATCCGAGCGAGTGCCTCCAAGGTCAGCGACAACAACAATCTTATCCTCGATCTTGGCTTCAGGACGGGCATCGTAAGCCAGAACAGCGGCAACAGGTTCAGAGATAAGCTGAAGGATCTCGATGTCGGCGTCGCTGGCGGCCTTGATTAGAGCCTCTCGCTGCTTCTCGGTGAAGTTTGTGGGAACAGTAACAACGGCGGAGGTGACTTTCTTGCCCAGGTAGTCGGAAGCAGAACCCACAAGCCGTCGCAGGTATCGAGTAGTGGCCTCTGAAACTGAAACAGTTGAAGCTTCTTCCTCGCTCTTATCCTTGACGGAGAACGCGACGGTACCGGAAACATCCTTGGGGTGGGCGGAGGCGTGAGAGTGGGTAGGGTCGATGGACTTGAATCTGAAGGCATCTTGTCAGTGTCGTTGGTTCCAGAACTGGGACTGTGGCGGGAAGGTCGCGTACTCTTGGCCGAGGAAGTCTCGGAAGTTGGCGATGGTGTTATCGGGGTTGCGAACGAGGAAGTTCTTGGCCTGTCCACCGTAATACTCGTCGCCATCAACGTAAGAGAGAACGGTGGGAATTTGTCGGTCTATCGAGCAGCTAATGTTAGCAAATAACCCGGTGGCAGTATCACAGGGCACAGCCTCATGAAATCAAGTCATTCTAGAACATACCTCCATCCTCGTTGGCAATAACCTCGGCCTTGTCGTCAACAGTATAGGCAATGGAACTGTTGGAGTTACCAAAGGTAATACCAATGGCAACTCGATCGCCAGGCTCAGGGCCCTTGGCTCCAGCGTTGTCACTCATTAGGTCGGTCGGAAGAGAGGTTTGTGAATTCGTATGTAATGAAGGAGAAACTCAAGACTCTATGCCTCTTTTGAGGTGAAGCGAAGAGGGTTCCTGGGTGTCAAGATTTTGGAGGACGAGTTGGTGATGGATGTTAGTGGGGGTTTACTTTCTTTTCCCTCAGAGATTGGAAAAAAACTGCCCGCTAATCGCATCGCCCACATTTTTCTTGATCGGCCACTGGTACGGATTCATGTTATCGTTATCAGTTCCCCACATGCCGCATTTGCCCATGTTTTTGACAAGGCCGTTGTTGAAGTTGCCGCATCAAGATTGCAGCCTTTAACTCTTGTATTTCGAAGCATCGGGCTCGTTAAGTTTTACATCATGGCATCCGATGCTGTATTCGTACTGCCAGGCGATATAATTGATCCATCTCTCATTCCTTCACATCCTAAGAAACCTCTGCGGCTCGGTCCTGGCCTACGACATGTGCCTCCAAACGACATCGTTCCCACACTCGCTGGCCAACTTGTGACTGACCGGCAAAAGAATGCAATTCGGGTAGAGAATGCTCGAGGAAAGGTTCGCTCTTGAATTATCTTCAAACCGTAAACCGTCGACTCACCAATTAACAGTATACCCCTCGCGTTGGCGAGCTTGTCATTGGAACCGTCCAGCGCAGCGCCGCCGACCTATTCTATGTTACTCTCTCCGACTATACTGCGCCTGCTCTTCTACCACAGCTCTCCTTCGAAGGCGCCACAAAGAAGACCCGTCCACAACTTACCGCGGGTGCGCTTGTGTACGCACGGATTGCTCTCGCCAACCGTCACATGGACCCAGAGATTGAATGCGTATCTTCTTCAACAGGGAAATCTGAGGGTCTAGGCCCTTTAACAGGCGGAATGCTCTACACCGTTTCACTTGGAATGGCTCGACGTCTGATGATGCCCAAGAGTGTGCAAGAAGGCCGAGTTGTGGTGCTGGAAGAGCTTGGTAACGCGGGTCTTCAATTTGAGACAGCAACAGGGCGCAATGGCAAGTTCTGGGTCGACAGCGAGAATGTGAAAACGGTCATTGCTGTTGGAAGGGCAGTGCAAGAGACAGATGAGAAGAGATTAGATGTGGAAGAACAGAAGAAGCTCGTCAGGAAAATCATCAAAGACCTGAGCTAAAGGAGGCAAGCACGTGGCAGAAACCATGGTGCTCAATAGCACTCTTTGTATTGGAATAGTTCGGTTGTACACTGTCGAATTAATAGATACCCGAGAACGAACACGCTTGGATCGTCCTTTGTCAAATGAATATGTCTTTTCCCATGACCTAACGCCCAATAGTCCTACACGTCCTGACGTTGATTTTTGTGCTGAATCCTGGACTTCTAATACCCAAATATGCTACCTTTAAACGAGTGTAAGAATCAAGTCGCTGCAAATGACAAAGAAAAGTAAATAGAGAGCCCAGCAGAGCGCTGAGATTTGCCAGTCAATGCCCGATTCCCTGGTGGTACATAGTACAGTGCAAGATACGACGGTAAAATCCATATCTACAACAGCGGATGAGCTGATGTCGCAGGCAAATACTCCTATGTGCCGCCCATCTCCTGGTCGACTTCCACAGGTTCTGGGAGGTGTCTCTGATCCATGTTGTGAATCTTTGTCATATGTCGTTTCCAGTTATCCTTGCGAGGGAATCCCTTGCCCCCTTGCCGTGAGTAGTCGCAGCCTTGCACAGCGCAGTGAAACTTCTTCTTTCTCTCATGTCGATCATTGACATGCCGCTGGAGATGGGTTTTGGTCCCAAATCCCTTGCCACAGTTTGGGTAAGGGCATTTGTGATCTTTCGTATGATATCGTTGATGATGCCTATTGGGTTAATGAGTGACTTCAATCAGCCAGCGACAATAAACTTACTTGAGCTTGTGTGGCTGGTCAAACACCTGGTTACAGCCAGGCTCATCGCATGCATGTGAACCATTGCTAGGTGACGGATTGCTTACAGCGTTTCCTGGTGACACGCTATGTTGGTAGTCGGAAGATGTACCAGAGTGGGGTGAAGGGGTATCAAGCTGTGTCGCTGGTGTACTGAGTGATGACGGGTTGGTGAATGCCGGTCCAGGTAGAGGAGTGGATGCATCGGAGGGATAGCTTGGGTGCCGAACACTACTGTCAGGGAGAGGACTCAAGTGGTTAGTTGTTGGAATCTCAGACATAGCGATATCCTGGTTGTCGTCGACCTCCGTTTTAAACGCTATTTGACTCTGGGTCGGCGTAGGAGAGTGAACTATGGGCACAGGTTGAGGTTGAGGATCACTAGGAGGGAGTGTTAATGGGGAGGGTGAGTCCACAGGTCCTTCATGCGTGACAGGCCCTGCTGAGGGAGGCGGCTGGTTGGGTGAGGATTGCGATACATATAATTGATAGTCGGTCCTGTGCCATACTTCGGTTTCTGTCGATGCAGGCATGATATCCATGGGGTTCACGGTACCAGGAGCGGGATGGCTAGGAGGGGATTGAGACGCGTTGAAGTTGAAAGTGGTCGGTGGGGAATCTGGGGGACTTAGCACAGCCCCCTTTGGCAGGGTAGATGGCAAAGCAATCGGGGAGCCCAAGGCTTGGTTAGAAGAAGGTACCGGCAAAGAATCGCTCGCCGGAGCAGTCATGTCAGTAGGAGACTCGGTCGGTCCTCCTGCTGTAATGATCCGTTGAAGACTTCCATCCTGGGCTCTTGGTACACTTTCAGGGTGTTCAGCCAGGGATTGCGATGTTGGTGAGCCAAGAGATTGATCACGCGTGCTCTTGCGACTGAACATATGTTTTAAGTTATATCTTAACGAGCTCCCACGCGACCATGAGCGTTCAGGCTGAGGTCGAGGTTCCTCAGTCGAAAACATGCCAAAAGCCTCTGAAGGGACTGATGGGCTATAGTAGTCCGCACTGGTACCATTAAGAACAGCACGGGGTGCATCACCAATAGACTGCGGCATGTACTCTTCATGATAATTCTCGTCAGAGCCGAACGGCGCTGAGCGTGGTATTGAGTCGTTGGAAGCTGGCTGAGCATTTTCGAAGCCATAAGAAGGTAGATTGGTGTCGATTCGGGGGACATAGTCTGGTTGACCTTGTCCATTGGTTTGTTGCAAGAAGCCATCGTGGGCTGTCCAATCCAAGTCTTTGACAGATCCATCAACTCCCCCACGCGTATTTTCTCCCGAAGGTTTGAACGAGTCTTGTGAGGACAGGCGGCGTTGATTATCATCTATCCCCGGAGCTTCAGTTGCTGGAACCTCGCCAGTCTCCGGGTCGTTCGTGTCGGGGGGGCCATGAAGAGATGTTTGTTTTCGGCGTCTGATGCGGCGGATGATAAAAGGATACGAGCAAAGAACAACGAGCGCAATGCCCACGATAACACCGACAACAACGCCAGCAATTCCTCCATCGCTAAGTTGGCGCTTCAACACGACGCCTCTGGCTTCGAGATTGCCCATCACATGGCTCTTCCTCCCACTTAGACATCGCAAAGTATCCATCGAATTGGACCACACCGGGTTCGAGGAAATAAGTGGCGAATGCGGAGGTAGCCAGCAGCAGCCGGCGAGAGCTGATGGAAGCTGATAATTGGGACAGCAAATCGAGCGGTGATTCTTCTTGTCGTATTACTGGGTTAGGTTATTTGGGCGGGGTGGCCGGTATAATACTGGATGCTCGGGTCTTGGAGGCCGCCGTCGCAGTCGCGCGAGACACAGCGAGCCTCGTGGAAGGCTTGTGCTTTGTTAAAAGGGTCCAGTCGATGAATCGAAAGATACGGTGGGGATAAAGGATGATCACTTTAGCTGTTAGATAGTTAGTGTACTCGTGATCGATCGTTGTAAGAGACAGATTCATGCACGAGTGAGATATAACGACATGGCGGAATCCGGGGGGGTGGTCGTCAGCAGGGCACGCGCAAAGTAACGGCCCTCTGAAGCACCTTCTGACAATGGGTTTTTATCGCGCCTTTTCAGGGCCTCCAACATCTTCAACTGCCCAGAATAAGGTAGCTCGACGAAGGCGATATTTCATTGGACATGGACCTCACTTAGGCCCCGCTTGCCGTCCGAAGCTCCGTCTGTCTAAGCCACACTCATCTCGTCTTAGTGTCAACTCACCCCTGGCGTCATCAGGGTCACTCAGTTTCAACTCAGTTAGATCACTGATTTCAACAGTGCTGTTTCTATAATGTCTAAACCCGTCCACCTCATTCAGTACGTCAAGATCTTAGATCTCAGTCCGTCTCATCTTGTTCTGTTTTGAAGCTTAGCAGGAACAACCATTCGCCACATTAGGAGACGATGTCACTGTTCCCTGTTTTTCTTCGACCGCGGGTTTCGTCAAACGGCTGGTCGCAAGCTACTGGCCCCATATTGCCGATGATAATTTGCAGTCAAGTTCTATAAATAAACACATTTGTGAATATTGAAAGAGCAAAGATGGCTCAAGAAGCGTAAAATTAGCTGCATGGCTTCCTCCTTACTCAAGTCTCGCAAGCTGCTACGACTCTCAACCCTCTTACATCACTTAAGCAGCTCCAATTACCGACTATGGCGATGTAGCTTTATTACAAAACATATTGCAATTGCCTTATCTGACATTCAAAGATTTGATCTGATGGCACTGTACTCATAAGATGTTCTTATTCGCTAGCCCTACAAGCCAAGGCAAACCAATCCATGCCTTCTCTCTAGTGTTCGTCGTGAGTGAGTGAGGCAAGGATCGATGGTTGGCACCATTTCGGCTCAGTCTGATGGCATTGATCCAGCAAGATTATTGTCACTCCATTACTCTCGCTCTTTGATAAAACGTAATTGCTATCCGTCGTAGGCAATACGATACGAGACTAGGGTGGAAGACTTATCAAGTCGTGTGGAATCGAGCGTGTAAGGTCAACAAAGATTTTATGGGAGTATCTATCATTAGTTGAGGGCCTGAGCACTCAGATCAATCACACAAAGAGTGGACCAACCTCTGATAAAGGATGTTCTGTCAATCCCCAGACCCTAGGCCACGCCACAGCCTGCATTGTTCTACCTACCTTAGGTACTCCATTGGACCCTTATTCTTGGCTTCTTTTCCATGGGAACATATTGAGCCGATCCTGGTTTGTTCAAATCAGCGCTATCGCTCGTTGCGTTGTTGCGTTGTGCTTCATCCTGCAATTGAAGCATTTCCCTGTCCGTTTCTTTACGTTGCCTTACGAACAGTGACAGTTTTAGACAACGATATTTATTCCAATGTCTGAATACCAACTCAACATTCATGCTTCACAATAACCCCGATGTTGTTGCCAAGCCATTCACCCCCCACAACATCGACCCCAGTGTGGCTCGATTACTTCCATCCAAGACACTAGTCAATCGGGGCACTGTGACCTTGTTTTGACTTCATCTCTTGACTAGCAATAATTGTCAACTTCACTTTCATTCAGCTTTTCTATATAATACCGTACCGAACCTTCAATACAGGGGCCACTCCAGTTTTGGTGCAATCAAGCTTCCTTTGCTTAAAAAAAGAAGACAGACCCAAATTGACATATCAACCAACTGAACTCAAGTGCTCACACAGCTACAATAACACCATCAGACATGCTTCTCCTTATCGTCACCAAATTCCCCGTGCAGACTTCCCAGTCAGACCACGAATAAGCGATCGTTCGCAACTGCATCCTCCCAGACCTTTGAAGTGTAATCAGTCGGTACGCGCTTGCCCTGGCGTAGGCGAAAAGTCATTGCAGGGTGCATCAGGACAATTTCCGCTTGTCTGGCTCTGGTGATTGCCACGTTGAGACGTTGTGCCTCATCCATGAAGCCGGGCTTTGTGGTTCTCACCAGATCGAGGAAAACCACATCCGCCTGATTGCCTTGAGCTTTGTCTACCGTCAAAACTTCCGTCCTCTCCTGCCACTCAATTGGCCACTGTTTGACCACATGTGCATACTGACGCATGGAGACACTGTATGTTGTCTCGATCATCACACGTCCGGGCTGCTGAGTGTCCGTAATGGTTCGAAATGACGGGTCCTGCAAAAGTTTTTTAACTTCAGCCAATACCCAACGATGGTTCACAGGATTCCAGAAACTGTGGCAATGGTTTTCCTCTTTGCTCGCTGAAAGGGCAATAATAGCCCGGTTCGCGTTCAGTCTTCGTCCACAACCGAAGGCCTCAAGGTGCCGTCTTAGGTAGCTAACCGTTTCCGGGAACTGTCTCGATAATGGGTAATCAGAAGACATCTTTCCGCCATAGAAGAGATCCGACGGCAGCTTGTGTAAGTTGCCATGCGCCCGCTTGTTGATCAACAATGAACTATTGATCGCTCCCAGTCCGTTGGCCCTTGCCATGAGGCTAAGACGCAGCTGCTCAGAATACGGGTTTACCTCAAGGCCTTTCTTCAGGGCATCCCGTGCATCACCACTCTTCACAAAGGGGCGGGTCTGATTGACATCACCCGTAAAAATCCAAGCAAAGGGTTCGAAGAATGCAATTGGAATCAGCGTTGTGAGTTCTCTTGCATGTGGTGCTTCATCCACAAAGATAATATCCGGCTTAAAGAGTTTCGAGAAGCCGCCATATGCGGCCACAGGCGTTGTCGCTATGAAGTCCGCTTGCTTCAAAACCGCGGTGTACAGTTTCGTGACTTCATTTCTCAGACATTTCCAGTCGTCGTGGTCCAAGGCCTCCTTAGCCTCCATTCTGGAGAGCACTTTCTTGAGAGCCACAAACCCACCATCTTTGTGCTTTTCATAGTAGTCCCAAGCAGCTTCATCCAGCGTTGGGGCCTTGTTGGCGTTTCTTCCGACGTTCAAAGTCTTTTCGATGTTGGCAGTTGTCAGAAACTTTCTCGTGAAGTCTGTTTGTTGATCACAGTCTTGCGCCTGGTTTTTGCCCAGTTTCTCGCTGTTTTTCATTTCGTAAGGCCAACCGTGCATTCGAATGATGCGAAGATGAAGACCACACTCCTTTGCCAAGTTCCAGTAGCGGTCCGCAGCATCATCGACGGTTTTGTTGAGGTCAACAAGAAACAGGATAGGATTATAACGCTTTTTGGCACCTGGGCGACGTACTGACTGTATCAGAGCAGAAACGACCATGTTCCACTCTGTCTTGCCCGCACCGGGACATCCATTAACAAAGTAGAGACCATTTGGTATGGCCTTGAGTCCATGAAAGGCAGCCATATGATCCTTATTAAAGGATCGGAATCTTCGCAGAAGACTATGGCGAACCCTATAATCCGGGTGATGTGGGTTGGAAAGGTGAGGGAACACGCTGTACAGATTTACGTGTGTCTTGTTTGATCCTTTGAAATCAAGGATCATCTCAAATGCAGCCTTGCATTTCGGGCTGACCTGTCGACTTTCAAGCTGGCAACCGCCTGTCAGGCGATGAAGTGCGGCAAGTTCGGCCTCATAGGTGTTAGAAAACGTGTCCCATGTAATGAAGATATTTTTTTGAGATGTTTGGTCCAAGGTTAGGCTTTCAAAATCATCGAGTGCAGAGGCTGTCTTCATGTGGCTCATCAGCTCGAGAATCTCTTGATCGCCTTCCTCATTTTTCAACGCTCGGGGAACCTGGACGTTGAAGGCTGCACATTTCACGACCTCTGCGCCGACGATGTTCTCCATTTCCTCATATGGGTTTTTGACGCGAGTTGCTGACAGGTTAACAAGAGAATAAGTCCCGTTCGGAAGCTTTATTCTTTCTTCAAACTCGATGCGGAAGTTGTCAGTGAGAGCAGGAAAGATGAGCTCTTCAGATAGCTTTGGAACCGGAACAAGCAGGAGCCACGTCGTTGTAAAAGAGTTAGCTAGGCAATCAATTGGTGCTATTGGCCAAGCTTCAAACGCGGTTCGAAGGTCATTGAACCGTTTCAAAATCGTCTCTTCGTTGCGTTGCTCGATTATGGAGCCGTTCTCGTGTCTTTTCACATATTCACTGACAGACAGGGCGTACAATGGTGCCAGTGGCTTCTGAGAGTACAATGTCAGTGGGTTAATTCACACGGTTGGGTGATCAAAGCTCACATTTCCGGACGTAGAAACATTTCGTCCGACTGGGGACGACATGGTAGAAGTAGATGGCACCATACCAGAAGAATAGAAACAAGGTGCAGTAGAAACCGAGTAAGAGCGTGTCGGGATAAGATGCGTTGGATACCTATCCCCAAGTGGTCCAAAGCAGTATTGATTCAAAGACTCATCAAAGCGTCGAGCGAAGAAGTTAACGAAAAAGAAAGAGTGGAAGCTGGAGGAGAAAAAACCTTTAGCCAAGGCAGAAGCGTGCAAGGAAGGAGGAGAAGCGTTTGCACTCGCCGTTTGTTGTTAGAAGAAGGTACTCATCTCGGGCTGCGCGCAGGCACCCGACACGCTGCTCCGCACTGCCTGCCAGCTGTGAATCAAGGTCAAAAATCGGAGGGGGGCTTTCGAGGGCAAAGAGGATGAAGGCAGTGGCAGCAGGTGCTAGTTCAAGATCGGCTCTATTCTCACATGAAGGATGCCTCAGACCCAAAGGTAAATGCGTCAGGTAAGGTACTCAGTAAAGTAATGCGATCAAACACTGGTATTCGTGACGGCTACCTTACCTATCTAAAGCTCGAACAGAACAGTTATCTACCACGTCGTGACCTTTCCAAGGAGAAAAACTGTCATCTAGTTTCCAGGCCGCTACAAAACCAAGCCAGTGTCCACTAATCTCGTTCTCCGTACCAGGTTGCCTTGATCAAAAACCTGCTCAGGAGCTAGGTCAAGTCAATCACCATGCCCTCAACTGCCCAAGAGGCTCTGCCGTGTCGGTGTTGTTGTGTATCGAAAGCCTCAACAGTACTTCCGTCCATCATATCCGGAGAGTGGCGTGGCCTATCTTCAGAGTCGTCTGTAAGATTGGCTGTCGTGTCGGAATCATCTTTAATGAGAATGGCGTCCTGGTAGTTGGTGAATGGCTTCATGCGGTCTTCGTTCAAGAGCCATTGTTCTAAGTGCTTGTAGAGAACACGGACTGTGTTTGGGGGAAAGGCGTTTCCGATTTGCCGTTTGATGGATGTTCTGGTACCGAGGAACTGATGTGACTTGGGGAATCCTTGCAAGCTTGCATACTCTCTTAGAGTGAGCTTTCGTGAGCCGTCGGGGTAGTAAAAATCACCTCCACCAGTGGTGACAGTCCCTGCCAGGCGTTCTGGGTCATATGGCGCTCGTGGCGGATCGAAGTAATGGACATTATCAAGGTCATGAAGATCGTCTCCCACACGGATGCCTCCGAGCGCCTTTCCGATACTGTTGTAGGGCAGCAGTCCATTTCCACCCTCCTGAGTGTGTGTAGCCTGGGGGAAGGTTGGAAGTCTCTCACCTGGTGCAGCGGCGATGATGATTAGGCGTCTCCGGTCTTGGGCAGCTCCCCACGTGCAAAGTTTTATAACTCTCCAGCGTACGGAGTAGCCATGCTGTGTGAAGTCCCCGAGGAAGCCATTAAAGTACTCCTCATGTCGGTCATGCGTAAGCCCAAATGTCTGTTCTACGGTGACAAGCCGGGGACGTAACTTTCTAAGTAATTGGTTACACCCATATAATGCGAAAATGTTCGTATCATCGTGACTCGATTCGTGAGTATGGGCTGGTGAAAAATACTGGCACGGCGGAGAGAAGTGCAGCATATCCACTCGCATATGACTCGTCTGCGCGTTGGACAGAAATTGGTCAAGAGACATCTTGTATAGTTCGGTCCCTGGGAAGTTTGCTTGGTAAGTATTCCACACCTCTGGTGCTTTGTCCAACGCATATCGGACTTTAAAGCCAGCCATGAGGGCTCCCCGCGATACTCCGCCAGCACCGGAACAAGAGTCAAATACCGTGTACTGCTGGCCAGGGCTTCGATCTTCTTCATTGGGTCCCTCCGACTCCAGGTCAATCAGGTCACCGCCAGAAAAAGGGGTCCAGGAGCCTCCTTTGACGGTAGATCCTCGCCATCTGTTGCGGAGTATTTCGTTAGAAAATCTATGTTCTCTCCGTGAGACTTCGCTGGAGTCAATGCGAACAAGAGACTCTTCAACTTGCTTCCGACGGCTTCCTTGTCCAGCGTAACAAACCTCCAGCTTCTAGCGGCAGGTCAAGTGTGTGGACTGCACCTTTGGTCGGCCTCTTTCTGCGGGATGTTGGGGATTGAAGATAACCCGGTTGAAATTGGGGTATGTCGCGTTGGTGATGAGCAGTGGGTGCACATGAACCACTTGTGATGGCCTGATGTCTGTGGCCTCTTCGTTGTTCGTGTCATCGTCTCGGCATATCAGCATGCAAACTTCGTTTGACTTCTTGGGAAGCTTTGCGAAAGAGGAGCGGTTTCTCAGGAAGGGTGTGCCACGAATTTTGATTGCGTCTGTAGAGCGGCATCGAACCAGGATTTTGACCAGAATAAACTCAACAAGATATTTCCCAGAAAAGAATTGGCGTACTTCAAGAAAGGAACCTGCTTGTACAATCGTATTCAATAGCCTTATTGTCTTAAGCTCGAGTTCACCCTGTTCGAGAAGACGAGCTGAAGTGTTCGGGTACTCAACACGTTCGCCGCTGGTGTCCTCATCCCCGATCGTACAGGATGAGAGACGCCTTCGGCGCCCAGAAATACCACTGGGTTCTTCAGAAAGAAATAAAACGTTATCGGTCTCTTCTTGCGCCTCAAGGTCGATTCTTTCGATAGGCATAGTTGAGAACTGGACCAGAGCCCAATGGTCAAAGGAAATGTCTGCGTCACTGTGTTAGTTCACTGTGAATCGCAATATATGAAAGATTATGATTGCGTACCTCGAGCAAACGAGGCAGTTTTTGCCTGGTGCTAATGGATAAAGCATGGAAAAGTGACCATTGGTTGCAGAGGAGAAAACGAGAGAAGTGGTTTCTTGTATCTTAAGTAGTTCAGTAGTAGGTTTTTAGTAAACTCCCTGGTATCTGGGGTAACATATATCCTTCACTCTAAATAGCTGGTCCGTGCAACATTACTTATGGGTTGTTTATCTCGTCAAAGCTCTTATTCGTCGTGTAACCTTGGCACAAGTACTATTAACCAACTGAGGATTTATATTGCAACAATATCTATATTCTTGTGGCATGTATAATACTCTCGTGACCTTTATGTTACAGTTCTATTGCGAGACTTGGTATACATCCTTCCTTTGGAATTATTGCATTAGTTGTGTTCGATATAGTGTCACAGGCACCACCTCTTACTTGCTTTTGTTTTGTGCACGAGGAGCTCATCCGCTCCATCTTTCCATTCTGATGCGCCGAGAGATAACTCATTAACGTTTATAGAATGAGCCGGTCTTCTGGCTCAGTTGGAGCTCTTCGACCCATGCTTCAGTCCATCAATGTTCATTGTTTGGGCTGTACATCACATGTAAACCACACGAGATCTGTTATCGTGTTACTCAATCTGAGCACTTACGTTTTACATTCGATATTGATTGTCGATTGTTGACCGAGGTCAATTGGCCTTGCTAGCTCAAGTGTATGATTAATGGCTTCCAAGGATAGGTTCTCTGTGTCTTATGAGTTCCTGTTGCAACGGCGTTGTAAGGCAGTGGAAGGCATTTGCATGTAATGAATAAGATTCAGTGACATTCGGCTCAAGTTCCTAAAACATGGTTGGATTTGGGAATGACTCTGAGAGATTTCGTCGCTGGACACTCTGTAGAGCTCTATTGAAAAGAGATCAACCACTCAGCTATTTGATATTGGAACATATTTGAATCGACTTGTTGGCCACACAGAAACGTGGATGGTACAAAGGGACTTTCCGGGGTACCAACGATCAGTACTACCCCAGAGAAATAAGAAAACAGAGCTACATAAGCCGAAGAAAGTTTTGAAGAACATAATAATCATGTATTTGTTGTGTTCCGATGCTCCTTGACATTGCTATTTCGAGTGGCACAGGGTAGGTAATCGAATGGTAAAGCCACTCTGACTAATTCGGTTAGTTCAACGGCAGCGATGGTTTGCGGGGTGGAGATAGACCTCAGCGATCCTTGTGTCGACTGTTGAGGTCATTGATGCCATCAACCATAAGTAATCGCAAAACTGATCAAACACTTACTATGAACAGAACAAAAATGAGTACGCTGTTGGTATCGAACATCAAGGGATTGCCTGCTTTTGTGGAATGAAAAGCTATTTGCTATTTGTCGTCAAGTCTTGGATGCCCCTGTACCCCTGTCCGAGCCTATTTACATCATCTCCAATCTTTCGTCACTTTCACACTTGCACATCTTCTGCGCAAGTCAAGATGGCTGCTCGAACTTTACGGAAGCGCAGGGTTGCGAGCAGAGAGGAGACGCCTGTCAAGAAAAGGAAGACCGGGATGAAGGCAAAGGACCAAGTGAAAGATGAGTATTTGGATGAACTTCCGCACAATATGGGGCCTGTTCGTGCTCCCCGGAAAGATATCAAAACGATTCCCACACCTCCAGAAGATTTGAAAGAAACGAGCGACTTGACGAAAACCGCCAAAGTCGAAGAGACCTCACCTGCGGCCAAATCGAGCATCAAAGCTGTGGACACAGATTCACCCCAGGTCACGGAGTTTACAACCCGGAGATCACTCCGCCCGCGGAAATCAGCTGCAAGATCTCTATACTTCGAATCTGACGACGAGACAATAACTAAGCTTCAAGCTAAGGACCCAAACAAGCCTTCGTCCATAAAGAAGGAGGTCAAGGATGATGATCTCGAGGTAGCAAGAGAAGCACCAGTTCGGAAAACGGCCAAAAAGACGAAGGAAAACCCGTATGGGCTTACTCCAGGCATAACGCCTTTTCCAGAATGGAACGCCCCATCAGCAGAAGAATGTGAAGAGGTTTATCGCCGACTGGCGAAAGTCCATGGAGAAGCCAAAGCCCCCGAGAAGATACCGGCGCCATCGTTGGAAGTGTCGGGTTGCGGAGAGGTGCCATCTGTTCTAGATGCCTTGATTCGTACCCGCTTAAGTGCAAACACCTCCAACCGCAACTCAAGTGCAGCATTCAGAGGGCTGGTGACCACATTCGGCACTGTCGACAAAGGTATTGGAAAAGGCAGCGTTGACTGGAACAAGGTCAGAATTGCTCCTTTGCCCACCATCGTTGAATCAATCAAGACAGGTGGCTTGGCTCAGGTCAAGGGTAAAGACATCAAAGCGATCCTGGAATTAGTTCATGAAGAGAACACAAAACGACGAGAGGCTTTTATGCAAGAGAAGAAAGGAGGTAACTCATCTGGTATTGCCGGAGCAGACAACAAAACTCAAGGTCAAAAAGATCTTGAAATCTTGAAGACAGACCAAGAGATTCTGTCACTAGACCATATTCATGGGATGGCTCCAGATGAAGCCATGCAGACACTCACTAAATTCCCTGGAATTGGCGTCAAGACAGCATCTTGCGTTATTCTCTTCTGTCTCCAACAACCTAGCTTCGCAGTTGACACCCATGTTCACCGCATCAGTGGATGGTTGAAATGGATACCCCCCAAAGCCACTCGCGATCAAACATTTAGTCACCTGGAGGTGCGCATCCCCAATCATCTGAAGTATGGATTGCACAAACTGTTTGTCCAACACGGACGAAGTTGTATCCGCTGTAGAGCAAACACAAGCGAGGGGAGCGAAGAATGGAATAAATCGAAATGTCCTCTTGATGGACTAATGGAGCGAACAGGGAAGAGGCAGTATGGAGGGAAAGCAGGATTGAAGAAGCAGCTGAAGGAAGAGGATATTGATTAAGTGCCTATGATTAGTTTGTGGGTTATTTTCGTTAAATAAAGTTGCACCTCTTCAGCTTTTCGTGCAACTATCTCTTTTACACATGCATAATCCTGCCTGTGTCTTATCACAAGCCAATTCAGCAACCCTTTCACCCACAATAGGCATCAGTGGCTAAGGTACCACCACCCAGCTAGCCACCGACGAACGCCCCCCCGCTATTTCTCATTTAACCCCCTGCAGAAAACGCGGCAACTCAAGCGCGTCAAAGCCAAGCCAGTTTCCATCAATCTAGGAACTTAGCGTGACAACTATTTTCCTATCCTGATCTACAACCTTCACATTGCATCGTAGGCTCGTTGCCTTGCTGGATTACAAGCTTCGACAGGACATCAAGGGACTCCGTACATTCTCTGCGACTAATCCTTTCATTCGCATCACTCTATTGTCCCCTAGCGTTGTCCCGCAAACGTTCAGACATTCACGGATTGCTTGATTTCGAAGCCCAGAGTGCCCCGGCAACGGTCCCTGAAGTCAACTTCAAATTTTCGACCACCGCCCGTCCAACCTTTTATTCTCCGCGACGAGCTCGACCTTTACTTCGGCAATTAACATCCTCATTTAACCTGACGATTCATTCTCGCAACCTCATGAAAACCCGACCTCCCACTGTACCCCCGAACCCTTTGTTTTAGCCACGATCCTGAGAGATGCGCCAACGTATCTGCGAACCCTACAATGGATCTTCATGAGCAACTCAGCCAATGGTACGAGAAGATTCAACGCTTCGACGAGGAATGCCATCTCCTGTGTCCCCGTATCAACGACGAGGATAATGAAAACTACAAACTCGTCAACGACCCCGATTCATCGATTACGCAAGAAGAAAAGAACAGTCGCATTAAGGCAGGAAAGGAGCGACTCGAAGTCACATACTGGAATTGCCTGATTTTTGGCTTCGATCAATCAAGCCAAGGGAAATGGGGAGAGCAGCTCAGCGAGAGGCTTAATGGTTGCCTAAAGCACTGCGCAGATTGTGTCTATAATTGGCATATGCAACGCAGAGAACTCTTGCAGCAATTCCAAGAACGGTGGAATGAAGAGGTTGTAGTCGACATCCGATCGATGCTGGAACGGAGAGATGTTGAACGAATCGATCTAAGCCTGCGATGGGCCAAGGGGTTTATTGAGAAGATCATTTCAGCAGGCTCTACATTCAAGAAATCCCAGCTCGGTGAGCATCTCCCCGAGGTCCACATCTCTGTATACGAGGCACTATGCTGCATGCCGTATATGGAGGATCCGGATCGAAGGATCACCTTTCAGTATGTTTTCCAGCGACTTCAAGGAAAAAGTGGCCTTAAACTTGGGACCAAGGAGCCTTTGCCTGGAATGACCTACTTCATCTTTGACCTTAAGAATCAGGATCGCCGAAAATGGGCAACAGATAACTATCGGAACCTTGATAGTAATAGTATGACACTGGAACAATTCGACTGGGCTGTCAGCAGCGGCCTGACAAGGGCCATCGACGACATTTCTAAAAAAGAGCCTCAAGCTATGGACTCATGGCCTGAAATAGAGCAGTTCTGGGAAGGATTCAACGAAATTCTAAGGACCTTAACTGCGGACGTGATTCTGCAGCGGTTACGAAATCTCGAACTGAGTACCGGAATCAATCACATTTACGACCTTCTGTTCCGCCATATCCAGTTCTGCCCCGCCGAGAGTGTCTTGGTGATGACCATCACAATACTCACAAACTTTCTAAAGAAGGCACCCAGGGCTTTTTGGGATGTTATTGGCGATGCCCGGCCTAATGTTATCGCCGACTTGCTCTTTGCGAGTCCCGGATACAAGAATCTCCTCCGTCAATCCCTAGAAGATTGCTGGACTGGCTACGATGGTAGCATTTCTCGCGGTCCCTTTCCTACGTCTTGGGTTGACCCATGGCTCCAATCAGTCGGCCGCGATCGCAGATATGACGCTTGCGAGGTCTTGATGCACACTCTCTTCGAGTCACTTGCGAAAGACGAGACTATCGGGGAACCAGGCCGTGCGGCGTGCATTCGAGCTGGATTTGATGCCCTACAACTCACCATATCAACGTTTGTCGACCCTGAGACGAAGATTGGTGCGGGAACAACTCATCTCTACGCATGCTGTGCGTTCAATCTCGTTATGAAATACAAGGACATCATTCTCCGGAATTTGCGTGCCCCTGGCCAAGAAAGGGAAGGTTGGGTGACCTTTCAAGTTGCAAACGCAGCTAA